TTTTTTTTACTGAAAATAATTATCCTACCTACCCTTTTCATTTGTGATATCTCCTTGTTCTGTATCAAAGACTTTAAAGCATACTTTTTTAGGTGACTGGAAAATTTCAATCAGGATATAATCCGTTCACTGTTGGATGCCTGGGTAACATCCGACGAACACTTTGCGGGAGCCAGTTTCCTTCGTGCGTATTTTTTATATGATTTGTTGGGCACTGAGCAGCATGAAGTTGTGGCTGGAACATTCTCTTTTCACTTTTAGCGAAGAAATTTATATCTCTTTGAACTTGATAAATCGCCCGTATGTTTTTTTCTAGTTTCACTAAATACGAGGAATCTGCTGCGAAACGAAGCCGCAAAAACCGATCAGCTGTAGAAGATGCGAAAGTAAATGGTGCGCTCAAGAAAGGGGTAAGCATTTTTGTACCATTTAAATGACGATTTCTTCGCGAAATAGTTTTATTTGCACTTATTGTTCCAGGATACAGAAGAAGTCGACGAGACGACAGTCTTGTATGTTCCAGATAAGGATGGAGTAAAAGATGGGCATATCAGGGTACTTTTCCAATTTTCGGAATTCTAACCTTAATCTCTTCTTCTTTTTATTGACTTATCTGATTTGTTTATTGTTTTCTTATCAGAGCACATGTTCCAGCTGAAACAGCTTCGTATGCCCGATAGTCAGTCTGTTGGAACTTCAATGTCGTTGGTTGGTACAGAGCCAAATGCGCAACGAGAGCGAGAGGGATCGACATGTAACTTATTTGAATCAGCTCAAAGTTAGTTGCTGACAGTTCAAATCAATTTACTACTAATTACTTTGCACTAATTTGTTACGTCCTCAGCAATAACTCATTTGATTGCCATACTCTTTTCTTAAACGAAATGTAGCCCTTAGTGGTATTTTCGTGGCTCATCGACTGCATGCAAACCTTGAAAAGCACGGTTTATACCCAAGTGCTTGACTCACATTTGCTATAATGTCCATACTAGCGTGAGAATGGTAGGCGCAAAAGGTCACCGGGTTAACTTTAGACGAACACACTATGTGGGTTGGGTGTAGATTATTAGAACGGTTGCGCGTTCAGTTTCTGCTTCTTCCCGATAGTGATAATTTTCAGCAAGTCCAAAAATGAACAGCCCCACTTCGCCTGCATCAGATGCGTACAAAGCCAGCTTCGAGGAGGCTACACGTGATGCTTTGAGCTCTCAAAAATGTGAGTGCCGAATTGTTTTTTGCCTTATAGCCATTTTTGAAGTCCATTGGCTTTATATTGTTAGATGTGCAATATACATCCCGCATATTAGCGTGCATGTTTTCAATTACAAGCAAGGCAGGGATGCTTAATCTCGATCATTCAAAATAGAGTATATGCACCACTAGACTCATTTAAGGAGGCGTAGCACCTCAAAACGCTGGTTGCAAGTCTGTCATTTACTTGCAGCGGCTGAAGGAAAGTGTAGAGTTTCTTTTCCCAAGAGTGTGCGCGATCTGTCTTTCATCGTTCGAATACTCAAAGCCCTCAAAACAATGTAAAAGCTCATACTGGACAGGAAGATCTTCCAAGACTTTCACAATTTTCTTCAAAAAGTTGGCTCAGCAAATGAGATAAGCAGCTTTGCGAACAACGCTTAGTGGTTACACATCATTTTGGACGAAAATTAATGCTGTCGTAAATCTGGATCTTTTGTGATTGGCGAGAAATTTGCTCTTCACAGTTTTCCCAGTAGTATTCTCTTAATGTGGGGATTTTTGAAATAAACTAAAGAACATTGTGCGTTTACGAAGCATTGCGAAGATCAGTCAATCATCCAGATTTTTTCAGTGTTCACGCCTCCTCTACAATGAATAACTAGTATTGGTCGTTCAGGCTTGAGCTCCTTCTTTTGCTGAGTTATTTTGCTTTTCAGTGAACTCCGATGTGTCGATCGCAGCATCACAAGTGTTGAATAGTGATCGTTCACGACCGCGCGGCTTTGCCGATGCAGTAAGAATCCATGATCAACTGAGCTCACCGTCGAAGTCGGTTGCATTGTAGTATGTGGTTTTCG